TTGAAACTGATTCTGCTTTTTGGATGATTTTCTACACAACCATAACATATGACGAGCGTAGATCATTTCTATTTGTGCTGCTAAGTGGGATCAAAGTAGGGGTAAACTGAGAGTTCAGTGGGCTCTGATTAAGCCACAAATCTTCAATAAGAAAATGTCTAAAAATGACCCACAAATTAAATAAACAAAGAAGCACACAAGGCATGCCCCTAAAGTCAAAGAACTTTATGGAAAACAATCAATTCATATCTAAGTACTAGAGATCCTTACGTTGAATAAAAGAAGCCTAAATAATATGTTAGAAGTAAAAAAAAATGAAAAAAAGTCTCGCCGTACCTATAATTTCTCATTAAATAAGCTAAATTAAAGTTTACATGGTCAGCATTACAAGTAGTAACAGCAATTTTCGATCGTAAAACTAGATTCGGATTCCCATAATAATAATAGTATATATACATTACCTGTCTAACAATAGTCAAAGCAGTGGTCCCGCTATTGAAAGCATCGATTTTTCGGTGCTGCTCGAGCTCCTGATCAACAGCTGCACAAGTCTTCAAATACGAGTGCTTCCATATATCGAGCCTGTGGTTCTTTTTATCCGAATCCCAATCGAAATCGGGATCAGAAGACGCTTCTGCTAGAGTTTCTTGCCAATTGCAAAGTAGAGATGAAGGCATAGATTCTCGAACGTTTTTTGCTACAAAATGTCCCCATGGGCCGTGCCCATCAAATATCCCGCAAAAAATCATGTCTTCTTGGCATCCGAATTCCTAAAATCCATTAAAAAAAGATCGGAGAAAATTATCAACTTTAGGTGGCAAAAAAAAATAAAAAAATAAGCAACATGTGATGTGCTTTCCCATTTTGTGTCAAATAAATGAAAGAACTAATGAGACTAAAATAACAAGATCTCAATCTAAAGTACTCCTTTCCATTTTCATCTGTTGCAACTTTCAATTTAAGTCAAAAATTCTCTTTTTTCCTCTGTTAGTCGATCTAATTTGATCAAGAATGTACTTTCTATTATAAATGGGAAATTCAAGATGCTCGAGGATGCAAATGAGGCAATGGACATCAAATCAAATTCAGAAATGCATTACCCAATTAAACGAAAACAAAAGAAACAAATAGAATAACTAAAGACTAAAAGAAAGAGCAAAGAAAAATCCCCTTTTTTTAGTGTTGCAGATACTCCCATAATAAATAAATCGTTCGATCATACACACACGCGTAGATATTGATATATATATATACCTCCCAAACTATGCAGCAATCTTGATTAACGCCTTTTTCTCCTCTCTTTGAGAAAACGGATGCTAAATTATTCGACCCATCAATATCGATAATGCCCGAATTCCTCAATATCAAGTCGTTTTTCTTCGCATCCTTAGCCATCGACTCAACAGCATCCCTCGAATCATAAGTCTCACAATTGTTCTTCAAATTTTTACTTATCTTCATCGAGAAAGACCTCGCGAGTCCATTGAACATCGAAGATAAATGGCCCATAGCTCTATAGCTAGAAACCTACACAAGTTTTAAAAAGCAAATGCCTTTAAATGCTTAAATAGTCAAAGAATAGCCGAAAAGAACAGCAAGCATGAACAAAAAGCGACCCATTTTCGATCTAACTATGATGGAACAAAGTATATGGGGCACATGAATTTTATACAGAAAGGGATAAAAGTAATGGTGCAATTTAAGATGTGATCTGACTCAGAAAAGCTGAAAAGTGTCCACAAAAACATAGATATTGAGGCATATGAAAGATTAACCTAGAAAGGATTTTAAAGAAAACATTAAAGAATATCTAGAATCTTACATGGAATTCCAACAAATACAAACTATGATGATTTTCAGAANACTAAGCTAGAAGACAATCCACACGTCCAAAAAAATCAAGTCTTGAATATTCCAAAATTCATTTGTTAGATTAAACCCACCAAACAAAAAGAAAGAAAAAAAGATAAATTAAAGCTGCTGCACTTTCTCTGCTCTTTGTTACAAGATTCCCATAAAACCAAATCCATTACCACATCATACAGTCAGAATATTTAAATGGGACGAACAAATTAAAACGAATTTTAAGGAAAGGTATCACCTTTAAGAGAAAATTAAAAAACACAGAGGAGTAGAGTACCACCTTCGATTAAGTCGAGTGGTGGGGCTTTAGGGGGGAGAAGTGGGGCGGCGCCGCCGAGCCGGGAAATCAAGAACCGGCCGGGGGGATGACGTCAGTCGCCGTGAATAGAATATTTTCCGGCGGACGGAGCTGCGGCGAGAAGGGAGCAAGAGGCATCAAAATCCATGTGAAGGAGTTTGGTTTGGATGAGATTTTAATGAAAGGAGAGGAGGAGAAAACAAATACGCATAATCAGACATGTAAAGTGTACGCGTGAAAATATTAAGAAAAAGACATATTTAATATACTGCCTCACATCCATTTATTTTATCGAACTGTAAAAGGACCTAAACAATTAAAATTAATAGTAACTATATTAATAGTAACTATTTTTATTTATATTTAATTATTCACGAACACAAATACAAATTTAGTACTTTTAACTTTTACAAATCGAAAAAGTTTGATTCTCACCTCTCCTTTTTTTTTTTCAAATTAACTGCCACATGTCATCTAAAGCACTCGATTTTCCACAATTGTGCTTATTATAAATAAAGTAGGTAGCAAAAGTATAATAAATAAATTGTATGAAATAAACCTACTATATCCACATGATTATAAGTAATGATAAATTATTGACTTATTTATATTTTTTTACTTCATTAGTAATATATGTTTTCAATATTTTTTATTTTTCTCAAGCCAATAACTGTATATCTGGAGTAACTATTACATTTATCTTTATAAACATATTATTTATTAAAATTATATGGAACAAATATCAACTACCAATTTACATTACTTTATCTTAAATAATTTTTTTTAATAAATTTAATCCCATTCATTATTTGAGTTCGGAGTTGATTGATAATTTAAATGTTGTTTCATGTATATACAATTATTTTAAATTATATATATGGGAGTCAAATCAAATATCATTAAAAGATTAATTTGGTATGTTATATACAAAACGTGGTACTGTGTTTTTTTAAAAAAAAAAAACAAAAGAAATTTATATATAATTCATTTTTTTTTTAAAAATAGATATTAGTTTCAGACAAGAACTGAAATAAAAGGAAGAAAATAAAACATGATGGGGAATTTCTATAAAATATCTTTAGTGAATATTTTATATTATATATGTATAAAGTATTTTAGAGGTGGAACCCTCTATGCATAGTCAAACAAAAAACAAATTGTATATATGTCTAGTGAAATTAGTAACAAAAATATATTCATAATTTGTAATATATAATATGTGTGTGTGTGTGAAAAAACTGGGCCATAATGTGGAAAGGTTTATATACACATCTTGTAACTTGTTGCAGTCTAAATCAATGTTACTTTCAGTGAAAGATATCAAAGATAATTCCACTTTTCTCATTAACCAGTCAATCCCAAGCTTCTAGTTTTACCAGGTTAATTACTGGTCAATGGTCAACAAAATTAATTACCTGATAATGAAATAAATTAATGTGACAGCCTTAGACTAAGTATACTATATATATACTAGTATAACATTAGACATTAGAAAACTTAGAAAATAGTTAATACTATCATGCATGAGAGGCATTTACTGATTAATTTAAAACTCTGCCTGTTATCATCATAAATTTATTACTTTCAACTACGATTAGAATAATTTAGTTAGTTATATTATCTTGCTCTTTTTTTTTTTTTTNTAATTGACTCTGTCTATTCTGAGGGCTTATCAATCATTTTGCTAAAAATATATGGATTTGTGATTGGGCATTCAGCATCCTTGAGGCACAAATCACAATCATTCGCAAGTTTATATAGTATAAATTTAAATATAAAAACTGAGTCCACAAGGGAAAAAATATTGTTACAATAATCGACACAAAATTAGGCTATGTGCGGGAAGCTGAAGTCTTGGATCAAGGTTTCATGCTATTAATTCAGTATAGATTATGATTAGTTGTTATTAATTGGGAGAAATTAGGATTAATTGATGTGTAATTGTAATTTGATACTTCATATATTGATGTATCATATGTAGTGCTCGTTAGGAAATTATATACACATTTACATATTTAATGATGTATAATTAGATGGATGAAGACATATTTATTTTTATAATGAATATACATACATTAGATATAAATCACCGATCATGATAATTGTGAGTAAACATATATTATTTTTTTATTATAAAAAAAAAAAAAAAAAAAAACATATCAATTACATATAATAGGTCATCCATATATATATAAGCAAACATCTATCATTTATACAACTACAACCAGTTGATATAATCCCAAACAACACATGTAGAACCTTATGGCCTGTCCCAATCCGCCACGTGGAGTTCTTTATGTAGATTAAGATGTACCATAAAACACAATTGTGAACCCTTCAAATAATCCAACACATTATTAAATCTCTATTGATATGGAATGTCCCAATCTAGATCTCCCAAGTTCATGTAATGTCACCATAATAGACAAAACTTATATGCAAAATCCAAAATCACACTTGGCGTATTAAAACGTGTCCACTAGCCATGTGTCAATATTTCGATCACGCCACGTTAGCACACAATTAGACGTGTTTAAACAGTTACGTATCAAGATTTCGTAATCTTTATTATAATAATCTCTTGCCACATCACTTTGTAGACATATGAGAGTGAAAATCCATATTGAAAATGTAAGACATTTGATAGATGGTACTTTGAACACCTAATACTAATGTGTGATATTTTTAAAAAAATTGTATTAATAAATTTGAGAAACAAACAATAATTTGGTAATGTAATCAATCACAGTTTCTAGAGGCAATAATGTGTTGGAAATTGAAATAATTTGGTAATCAAGATATTTCTTGAAGAAACTATTATGCAGTATTTGTGACCAAATCATCCGTGGCCATTGACCACAATATTATTCCAAGTGGATGGAAGTTTGTAGAAAATACAAATCTAAAAGTAAAAAAGTTTGAGCACATTATAATTATTAATTAGGTCCGCCAATCACAAGCCTNAAAAAAAAAAAAAAAAACAAAAAGATGGCAAATAAGCAGACCCACAAAAATTGCCCTAAAGTTGGTGATATATTGGTTTTGATGGGCCAATTTATACCATGGACGGTGATATTCATGATGAATTTATGGGTGAGACTAGATTTGTGGTTGATTATATAAGGGAAAGTCAAAAATTCATAAATAAAGAATATGTAAGTTTTTTTTTTTTAATCACATGTTATTTGTGTATTTAAGTATTTATCATTGAAATACCAATAATTCATATTATACAATGATGCGAAATCATAAACTAGTTTGAATAACAAAAGTCCAATTTGTGTGAAATGAGACTCTAATTCCTTGTAAATATGAGGTTTGGATTTATTTTATGATAGAACCACATTTTAAATACTTATTCATTGTAGCGATTTTGATTTATACATTCATTTGTCAGTATATTATACACGATAAAAATATAAATATTTTTTAGAATAAGTAGGCCATGTAAATGTAGGAAGTCTTTAAGCACAATATATACGAGATTTGGTGACAATTATATATAATTAACTTTTTGTGAATATATTGAAAATTTGTTATGAATATTTACACGACCATTGTGTTATAAGTGTCGTATAATTTAGTACTCATCAGTCATCACCGAATTGTTTTGATTGATATAACTCAAGAACTTTCTTTTTGTCAATTGGGCCATATTGTGGTGGGTCCTGAACAATAATGGACGTTCCTTCTTTAGTAGGCCCAAATTCCAGTGGGCCTAAAACTTCTCTTCATCACATTTCACATGTGGATAATGTGTTTACACCGTGAGACATGTTTGTTTATGAAAATTTTTTAAAAAAATTTCAACATTTTAACTCAACCACTTTTTGTAACTCAAAATTTCACTATCATCAAAATTATCAATATAATTAAATAATATCAATCAATCATTCATACACACCACATCAATATTAATTCACTATTCATCCACTCACATTATTTTTAACTAACCATCACTCCAAATTTCTCTCTCCTACTTTTACATCAAATCAATTTTAATTATTGTATTATAAATATTATTTTAATATACCCACTAACAACTAACAATACCACCTTTTTCAAAATTAACCAAAACAAACCAAAAACTCAAAACAAAACCAAAAATTTTTATAAACAAACATGCTCTGAATCTCTATCACTTTATATACTGATCAATTGGCCGATTTTAAGCGGGGAAATTCCATTAAAAGGCCTAAGGTTTTGTATTTGTATCAATTTAAGCCCTGATTTTTATTCTTTCTCAATAAAAGACTTACATTTTAGATTATTCTCAATTGAAGGCCTACTTTTTAGTTAACTTTTCATTATAAGGCCCAACTAACTTTACTTTTTGACATAAATATGTAAATAAAAGTATTATTATTATTTTTTTCTTGTAATTTATATTTTACATACTTATAATAAAAAATAATAAATATCTTTAGTATAATTACATTAATAAAAAAATGATACTATACAAATTACAATTATGCAAAAGTTTAATAATGATTATTTTTAAAAATTGATAAATTAAAAAATATGTAATGAAAATATTTTTATTAATAATATAAATATGTAATAAAATAAAAAAATAATGTTTGAATAATGTTGGCTTTATTTTAGCTTTTCGGGATTTTAATTTTTTTTTTTCTTACAAAAAAGTCAATACCATAGTACATATTTAGTTAATTAATAAAAATAATATTTCCATTACCTATTTTTAAATTCACGTAGCAATTTTTTAAGATAATCATTATTAAATTTTCCATATATAGAATTTATATACTTTCATTTTTTATTAAGGTAATTACTTTAAAGATATTTATTATTTTATATTACAAGTATGTAAAATATAAATTACAAGAAAAAATAATAATAACATTTTTGTTGACATAATAGTTGGTTCACATATTTATGTCAAAAAGTAAAGTTAGTTAGGCCTTATAATAAAAAGTTAACAAAAAAGTAGGTCTTAAATTGAAAATAATCTAAAATGTAAACCTTTTATTGAGAAAGAATAAAATTTAGACCTTAAATTGATATAATTGCAAAAAGTTGGACCTTATAATAGAATTTTCCCGATTTTAAGCATGTAAAGTTGAAATATGATCCTGACACAATTTGGGTTAGATATCATTATCTCCAAATTTATATGGCGTGATATTTCAAGAAAAATATATTCAAGACTTTATATATCTAAAAGGATATTTTTTTTTTCTAAATCATAGAAATATATTAATTAAAATAATAATTATAGACTAGAAATCAAACAAAATAGTTGAATCAAACTGCAAAGCAAAT